TGAATGAAAACTGCAAATAGACAATGAGCTAAGCCCAGAATCTGAAAGGAGAGTAGGCTAGTTTGCATTTAGGAAATCATGAAGTGATTTAATGACTCCCAGTTCCTAACTGAGACAAATGCCTGTTCAAAAAAATTTCACAATTTTTTCAGTGATGTTGTAGACCTACGTTATGGAATACCAGCCTCCAAAGAACTGAAGCTGAAGATTGTCCAAAGGACAATGGAGAGGCATATGGTGATTGGAAGCAGACTGTCATGCATTAACAAGTAATTATGAAGAAGTGGCATAAAAGATGCCTTTAAAGAAATGTATAACCAGAAAAAAATAATATGATCAATGCATTAGGTTCTGAGCCCGGAGGATGTGGCTTTAAATCCTGCCCTAGATACTTACACTTCTGTAACCATGAACAATTTATTTAAATTCCCTGTGCCTCTATTTTCTCACCCATAAAAGGAGAGGATCGGGTTTTATGGGCTCTGAAGCCCCTTTGAGTTTTAAATCTATTGTCTTTTCAGGAGAGGTAGGGGGCTATGGGTGTGGAACACTGCGTGTGTTGTCAGATGCATTAGCTGGATTGTATCACCTAACTGTTTTTATCATAAGGGAGGGTTCAACTGGGGTGCTGTTATATCAGGAAATGACCTGCAGTACTAAAAGATAAAAACTTAAAAAAAATTTAAGGTCAAGATTAGCAATAGACACCCACAGGCCTCACAGGTATGTACCGATGTCATGTACCCAGCATGTCAGGGGGAACTCCTAGAACAGATTTCCTCTAGGAGATGGAGGACAAGGACAAGACTGGCACAGGATGGGCAGGCATGAATGGACTGTGACTTATACCCTTGGTGAAAGCACAGATCCACTTAGCTATTGCTTCTGAAATGGAACATCAGGATGGTGAAAAATACTCCAGAAAACATCTTCACTTGCTATTTCATTTACTACCAAAACATGTGCAAAATTCTAATCATACTCTCACTGGTCACAAACACAGCCGGCCAATACAGTGCTATTTTGTGACTCTCTAATCCGTGATAATGTAATTGCGTACTGTGGTTATCTGTGTTGATGTCTTGTTCTATTAGTAATTGACAAGCTCCATGAAGGCAGGGACCATGTAAGTATTTAAGCCTCTTCTACTGAAGATGCTGAGGAATTGAGGAAACAACAACTAAAAGGAAAACCGTCTCTACCCTCAGGGAGTTTACGTGCTACATTTACTGAGGAGGGAGGCATACGTTTATTGAGAGAAGTGCAAGATCATTTGAGGCGGAGAGAGCTGGGGAGGGGACCATAAAAGGATTCTCCTACTAGGCAGCATCTGGACCCCAAGTGCTATAAGTGCAGCAATGGATTCTGAGAGGTGGTAGTAAGGAAGGAGGCAGTGAATTCCAGACAAGGAGGCATGGAGGAGGGAGATGGAATGCCAAATGTAGGGAACAAGTAGGCCGGTCTGACTGGAATGTAGAATGCATGAAGAGAAGTAATACAGGATAAATCTGGAAAGGTAGGCTAGAGCCAAATGGTGACAAGCTTTACAGGACAAGCTGAATTTATATTTGAACACAGAGGTAAAACGGAATGAATGAAGATTCTTTCTTTCTTTTTGGCACAGAAGTTTATTTCTACACAGAAAGAAATGCTAAACATGGGAGAATTGATGCACTCATTGACAGGAGTTAGAGGATTCAGCAACTGTAGTTACTGAAACATGGCAGGCTAATATTTAACTACCGTTACAATAAGTTGGGAGAATAATATTTAATTTGCATCAGAACATAAAGCAGTTTTGCAAGACTACTAAAATGTTTTATATTTCATCTTAGCATGCATTATCCAACCACTCCTGACATTTTGCTCAATTCCTGAGATAAATCATTGTTGTTTTGGGGGAAATGTAGCTGGCCACTCACAGGCCTCTGGGGACCTTCAAACCTTTTGGAATTCACCATGTTGCTGCCAGTCCTGGACATATGAACCAAAGGATACTTGTTCACCTAAGATCAGGAAAGAACAAACAAACAAAAAAGATAGCATACCCACATCTAATGGCTGTATAGGGACCACGGGAAAGAGAGAACAACAGTTCTTTCTCTCACGGGACTCTGGGGACCCAGCTGGAACCAATCTACATGATTCACAGCCTGAAGGTAGAAAGCCCTTTTGATGAAAGTCATCTACTGTGATCTTCTCATTCACCAGGAAATTTGGGGAGTCCTTAATCAAGTAACAAGCATTTATTAAGCTTATGTGCCAGGCACTGTGCTAAGTGCTAGGGACACAAAGAAAGAGGAAAAACTGTCCCTTAAGAAGACTACATATACATACATACATACATATATACACATATATATAACACATATACACACAAACACACATATACATAGATACGTACACAGATACATATATATATATTATATATATATATATATATATCAGTACCTTCAAGAGAATTACAGGGTCAACATTAAGCATCTATCTACAGGGCAAACCTCTCACTGACGAGTCACTTACAGCTAGAAATAAACTCCCACAGCTCCTACACGGTTAAAAGGAAGAAGCTAGAGCACCAAGTTCTTAACCTTTTTTCTGTTATGGATTCCTTTGGCAGTGAAGCCCATGAAGCCTTTCTCAGAATCCTATCTTTAAATGCATAAATACATAGGCTTGCAAAGGAAACCAACCAGATTGAAATACAGCTATCAAGATATTTTTTAAAAATTCACAAATTCCAATTTAGAAACCCCCGAGCTAGAGAATATCTGTTCCTGGTCTGTAAAACCCACATTACTGATAATTATGAACAGAATCATAGAATCTTAGAGCTGGAAGACACCTCAAGGCCATCGAGTTCAAAGTATATCTTGAACAAGAATCCCAAGTCCACCATACTCAATAAATGATCATCTAACTTTTGCCTAAGGACCTCCACCACTTCCTACTGGGGGACATTTGGAATGCAGCCAGCTGAGAAGAAGGAGGGATATGAGAAGCTTTGTTGGGCCCCTCTCCCTTAAAAGCCAGAGTTTCTCTCACAAAAAATAGATGAAATAATTGTATTCTCCTTCAGCCTCTGATTCCAGTGGGAAGGAAAAAAGGGAGGAAGGTGAAGACAAAAATTGGGAGAGACAGACAGACACGAACTAGTAACAGTACAATGGGAAAAGAAAATCCACGGATTTGGGGTCAGACGACCTAGGTCCAAATTCTGCCTCTGTCAATCACTCCCTGTATGATTTTGGGTAAGCCATTCAATGTCTTTGGGCCTGTTTCCTTGTGTGCATAATCAGGGGGTTGAACAAAATGGCCTGCAAGTTTCCTTCCAGCCTGAAATCTGTGAACTCTGCCTACTGTTCTTTTCACATGGGCAAGGGAAGTGAGCAAACAAAACAATCCCCAGCTCCTGAGAGCAGGGACTTTTTTTTTAATTTTGAGTACCCTAGCCAGCACAGACTGAGCATTTAACAACTATGGATGCTGAACCTAATTAAATGGGGGTGGGGGTGGAGAAGAGAGTAAGAGATTGACAAAATAACACTCATGGGGACTCTAGATACTGGGGAAGGATGACGTGACAGAAGAGCCTTCTGGCAGCCTTTTAGAGGAAGGAAGAGGAAAAACAGAAACCTAACTAGATCTACAACCTTTTCATGGGGTCACTCCATCAAAGGTACAGAGAGAGCACACCCCTTGTGGTCATCAAAAGGGTCCACAGTCTCCATGGTGAAGATTCTGTGTATCCTGCAAGTAAAGGAGAAGAGGATGAAGAGAGGAGACCAGTCCCAGCCAGATGCTAGCGAACATAATGCTGTACAGTCACCAGCACAGCACCTGCCACCCAACTGACTGAAGGCCTAGATCCTGGAGAGTCAAAGGGCTAGATGGAGGGACCAGTACAACGCAACTGCAACCCGTATCCCTCCAGTCCCTGCTTACACAGTAGCAGCATAAGTAGCTGCTTGGAGCCATGATCTGGCTTGCATGTGTGAACCAATTTTCTAGTGACCCTGGATTGGAAGTGATTGACCAGACTGCACCTTTGGGGGAGGGAAGGGTCTAAATAATAATAGCTAACATTTATGTAGACTAGCTGGGTGCCATAATGCATAGAGTACCCATCTTGGAGTCAGGAAGACCAGAGTTAAAAAAATCCAACCTCACACATTTACTAGTTGTGTGACCCTGGGCAAGTCACTTAACCCTGTTTGCCTCAGTTTCCTTATCTGTAAAAGGAACTGGAGAGAAAACAACAAACCACTCCAATATCTTTGCCAAGAAAAGCCCAAATGAGGTCACAAAGAGTTGGACAGGATTGAACGACATTTATGAGCACCCTACTATGTGCCAGGCACTGTGGTAAGGGCTTTACAATGATTATCTAATTGTATCCTCACAACAACCCAGAGAGGAAGGTGCTATTATTCCCATTTTACAGATGAGGAACTGAGGCAAACTGAGGTTTTCAATTTGAGTCCATTAATTCTCCACTCCAACCCAGGCCGTCAGAACAGTACTGGGGTTCCGAGGTCAGGGCCTAATTGTCATAGCACACAGAACAGGACGTGGGGCTTCACGTCACTGTCATTTAGTGGAGGAAGTGGTATCCGGCCGCAAACACCAGAGCCACATCACAGACCACCTTGGGAAAGCTGCACAGCAAGGTGCCCGGCCCCGCGGCGTCCTTCTTCCGCAGGAGCCTGCCCAACCTGGGCTCGGGACCTCCCCAGACCCGGGGCGCGACCTCAGGGTGAAACTGCACTCCTTCGGGGTGTCTTGCGCCACCGGGTAAGGCCCTGGGGGTAGGTCGGTCCAGGGCCACAAAGAGGGGGGACGCGCAGAAAGAGGGGGCTGTGCCCGGGGGGGTCGGGGAGGGACAGTGCGTGGGGGGGAGGGGAAGAGGGAAAGGAGAACGATTCCGGGGAGGGGCCGGGGCAGCTCTGGCCCGCGGTCAGACACCTGGCCAAAGTTAGGCTGATCCTCGAGGATCCGGGATGGGGGGCGGTGTCGACAAGGTCAGGGGTTCGAGGGCAGGTGGCCTCCGCATGCAGGAGAATCCTCGGGCCCAGGGAACGTCCCAGTGGCTCAGCAGACCTCCCCGCCACCTCCCAGCCGGACCCCGGGGAGGAGGGAGGCGGTGCCTCACCCGATCCCTTAAAGCGACCGCCCGGTCTAGGGCCCTAATCGCCTTCCTCAGAGAATACGGTATGACCCTTGGCAGCCGCCGTCCGGGGGAGGGTCCGGCGCAGTCGCCACGGAGACGGTTCTCGGCTGTAACCGCTATGAACTTTCTTGAGCGGATGAATGAGTCGGTAGGTACGTGGGCAAATGTGTGAGGTTGGATTGGCGAGGGAAGAGACTAGAACCAGAGAGACCGATTAGGAGACTACTGTCCGAGGGGGTTGCTCTCTGCGATGTGGTGGAGGGAGGGCTGACAAGACTTGGGGAGTGGGCAAGGCCTGCGGTCCACTGAAGAGTTGAGGAGAAGAGCAATCTTACCGTGTAAAATTGAAAAGCTTTTGCATGAACAAAATCAATGCAGCTAAAATTAGAAAAAAGGTATCTGGGAAAAATCTTCATAGCATATCTCCAATAAAGGTTTGATATGTGTGTGTGTGTGTATGTGTATACAAATAAGTAACAATAAGAGCCCCAAAAGATAACTAATGAAAAGACATGAACAGGCAGGTTCAAAAGAAGAAATTGCAAGCTATCAACAGCCATATGAAAGAAGGCCCCAAATCACAAATAAGAAAAACACATTTTAAACAACTCTGTGGTTTCACTTTGCACCCATCAGACAAAATGGTCAATACTGGAGAGTCCCTGGGACGGTAGACACACCAGCACAATGTTGTTGGAGACCTTAATTGGTACATTCCCTCTAGAAAAAAGCCAAAAGTCACTAATCTGACCTAAGAGTAATACTACTACAAGACATAATATCTCGCCCCCTCCCCCCAAGTCAAGGACATAACAGTTCATAGTTACATTGACAATCTTCTTTGTTGTGCTTCTTTATATATTAAAATATTTGTGTTTGTGTTAAATTTCATAATAAAAAGTAAATTCAATTTTTTAAAGAAAAACCAAGGGTGAGAATATCCAGGAAAATGGTCAGCAGTGTCAAAAGCTACAAAGAGGTTGAGAAGGATGAGGACTCAGGGGAAAAAAAAAAGGCTATCAGATTTAGCAACTGACATCACTAGTAACCTTGGAGGAAGCAATTTCAGTGGAGTGGTAGAATCAGAAGACAGACTGCAAGAGGGTGAAGAGTGGGAGGTGAAGAAGTAGAGGCAATGCCTTTAAATGGCTTTTTGTGGGAGTTTAGCTGTGAAAGGGAGGAAAGATGCAGCATGAAAATGCAAGGCACTGGAAGGTGAAGAGATTTTTAAAGAACTGGGGAGACTTGGGCATTCATGTTAATAGATAAGTGGAGGTTGAAAATGTGAAGGGATGGGAAGTGGGAAGTGATCGTGGAGGCAGGACCCTGGGGGAGATGGGAGGAGTTCTGATCAAAGGCAGAAGAGGGAGTAGCCTTAGCCAGGAGTAGATGTAGCTTTTCCTCAGAGATGGAAGGGAAAGGAGAGTGAGGGATTATGTAGGAGTTTTGAGGGAAAGAAGTGAGGAAAGGCTCCAGCATATAGCCTCTATTTTCTCAAAAACAACAAAAAAAGTAGAAGGCAAGGCAAGGTCCTCTGCTGAGAAGAATCAGGGAATGGATGTTTGTTAATCAAGCAAAGATTTATACCAAGATTCACTGAGACTGGGAAATCAACTTTTTCCAGTAAATGTGAGACTACCAAAATACCAATTTAAGAAATTTAGCTCATTTCCCCACTTATTTTCATTCTAAAAAAAAATTCAGCTGATATGCACAATAGTCTTCTGTGATTAGTTGTGTCAAGAGTAAGAAAAAAACAGACTCCAGGGGTCTCTTGACAAAAGTATTGGAAACCAAATGTTTCTCCCATAAAGAGATGTAGGTGAGACACTAGGAAGCAAAAAATAATTCATCATCAAATTTAACAAGGAAAGCTACTGAGTTGTTAACTATTCTTTTTTAAAATAATTTTCTTTGCCTAAATTAGTTCTTCAAAATATTAATACTAATAGTTGAGTTTAAAAGAAAATGTGTATTGCATATTTTTATAAATAGGATAGTGATCTTAGATTTTTATATAAAAGTCACTCAGAAAACTCTGAAAGGATACAGATCAGGAGAGCAGAACAAAGAGAATGATACACACAACAACTAAAATAATATAAATGAAGACAATACTTAAAGACAAGAAAAATTGGATGAAATGCAATGATCAATGTTTCATCCTAGTACTATTAATACACTTTCTTAGCAATTCTGTTAAGAAATGTTTGGGTTGTTTTTTTTTAAAGGCAGTAGAGGTTAAGTGACTTGCCCAGGGCCACATAGCTAGTAAGTGTCAAGTGTTTGGTCTGAGGCCACATTTGAACTCAGGTCCTCCTGACTCCAGGGCCGGTGCTCTATCCACCGAGCCACCTAGCTGTGCCTTCTGTTAAGAAATGTTAAGGTACAAAGATGGAATGTTACATGTTCTGTCTTTCCCAATTGCTTTATCAAAAGTTTTACTTAATTGCTTTTTACTAAAGGAAGGTACTGTTAGGCAAGGGGTTCTGTTGGAAAGTGATTGTTGTGTCAAAACAATGCAGCGATAAACTTTTTTTAAAGCCTGTTAAAATATTGTTCTGCTGCAAGGAGCCATTATTCTGTAACAGCTATTTCAATGGCAATTTCAGATGGCAGCTGTTGAGAGTTCTGATTTTCACTGCTAAGAATACAAACATAGCTCCTTGCCTGCTGTGCCTCTGGCTTGATTTCAGGCTTTTCTCCTGCAAGCACACTGCCTTTCCAGGACAGAGATGTGGTGGGCAGCATTCTAAAGAAGAGGATGCCATACCAACTGGCATCACTGTACCAATTTCTTTTCTTAAAAATATTTTTATCGTTATATTTTGTTTTTACATCACCTTCATTTCCAACCATGACTCACCCTCTTCCCTTATGCAGTGAGCTGAGCTGTTTCTTATAACAGAAAAAAAACAGGGTAAAAAGGCACCTCACCAAGAGCAACCAGCACTCCAAGTGTTTCTGACAGTATATGCAACATTCCACAGCCATAATCCCCTTTCTGGGCAAAGAAGGGAGGGAGGCAAATTCTTTCTGAGGGTGAGCTTGGCCTTTATAATTATGTAGCATTCATTTTTTATATTTATGTTGTTTTAAGTTATTGTGTATTTTGTTTTCTGGGTTCTGCTTAGTTGCACCATTTTCTCTCAATTTTAATTCCCAGAAACATGAAGGAAAAAAAAAGCTGTAAAATTCTGATCGTTTCTATTACATACCATGCAGCATTCGTCCCTATTCCAGGTTGAAGAGCAGCAGTATTACACACTAACTCTATACACGAAGTGATGTCACTGGGACCCGATGAAGAAAGTGTGTTTTTATTTATTCTTTGAGTCAATAAAAGGCCTACAAGGGCTAGATTTACAAAGCTTCTAATACATAAGGAACTTTGTCTAGGGGGCAGTCCCCTAGGAAAATGTTCTACAGCTGAAAGACAAGAATCTAAGAAGGGGAGGTGTTGGAGGCCAGCACCTGGTAGTGGGCCCCTAACCCCGTGAGAACACCACACCCCAAGCAGCTTGTTCCGGGACAAACCGTACCATAACGTGTTCCTGTCAGGGCTGACCGCAAGATGTTGCCACACCGCCCCTGGAAAGTCCCGGAGGCCTATTTTCCTCTTTTGCCCCTCCCCGCTTTGCCCTATATAAGCTTGTAAATGCTCAAAAATAAAATTAGACCTTGCTACCATGCCTTTTTGGTCTCACTCCTCCTTTTCACCCATTCCCTTCAGCCAGGGTCCTCCTCGACCCCCCACGTATACTGGCCCTGCAGGTCGGGGCAAGTGGCGCCCAACGTGGGGCTCGAGGTCCGGACTTCTGCCAGGCGGACCAGCATTGAGAGACGATTCGTCGCGACCCCCTCCTTCTCATCGCTCATGAAGAGCCCCTGCGTTTTGGTAAGTTGAGTTTTCGTCCGCCTCATTCTAATCATGGGTTCCAACCTTTCTAAGGAGCAGGTCTTCATCCAAGACCTTAAGCATGCCCTTAAGGAGAGAGGAGTTAAAGTTAAGAAAAAGGACCTTTTGAAATTCTTTCTTTTTGTAGATGAGGTCTGCCCTTGGTTTATGGTTACCGGCCCAGATATTCATCCGGGAAAGTGGCAGAAGGTCGGGAGAGACCTCAATAGAAAGTTGCAAACTGAAGGGCCAGAGGCGGTCCCTCCCTCGGCTTTTTCTTACTGGGGTATCATCAGAGACATAGTGGAATCTGCCCCTGGGGACCCAGGCAAGCGCCAACTCCTTTCGGTGGCAGAGTTTTGTTTACGCCCCTTGTCGCGGGCAGCTTCTGTTAAATCGCTACAGCGCCCTTTATCACGAACCGCCTCTACAAAGTCATTAGAATCAGTGGGAAAAACCCCTAGACCCCCTCCGTGGTCATTACCATTCCGCCGGAACCTCCAAAGCCCTTTATCCTCCCCTCCCTGTGGAAACGGTCCCGGCTACTGAACCTTTAAACTGCCTATAATTGCAAAACACAAAACTCCTCCTTTAGGAGATCCTGACCCTGATACTCTAGACCCGGGGACGAGGCGGAACTGGAGGAAGAAGCCGCCCGATATAATAACCCGGACTGGCCCATAACTCCCAGTACCTACCCCCTCCCTACATATCCCAGACTTGCGCTCCTGCGCTTTTGCCCCCCATTCCCACTTCCTCAGCCCTCACATCCGCCAGAAGTCAACTCTCCACTCAAGTTAAGGAGCTCCGAGAAGTCTTAGATCTACAAAAGCAATATGCACAACTCTCTTCGGAACTGAGTTCCCTGCAACACTCCCTCCAGAATTCTGTCATTTTTTCCCCAATAGGTCGCAGTTACATCAGAAACCCCTGAAAAAGATCAGAGCCAGTGCTAGAGATAAAAATCTAACAAGGCACAGCCCATGATATTCCCTGTTATGACCCGGTCTCGTCAGCCTGACCCTCACACAACGACCCCAAGGAAGTTTCTGCCAGTGAAGGGGAGGGAGATGAAGAAAGTGAGGAGAAGGGAAGAGGAGAGGACGAGGGAGAGGGGGAGGGACAGGATAGTGGAAAAATAGAAGAAGAGGAATGGGCAATTGGAAAAAAGGAAGGACAGCGGTTAGAATATAGGAGATTGCAGTTCAAAGGGATTAAGGATCTTAACGCCGCCGTCAAGTCCTATGGTCCTAACGCCCCGTTCACCCTCTCAGCTCTTGAATCTATGTCCCGCGGAGGATATCTCTTGCCGGCAGAATGGCTTCGTGTAGTACAGGCAGTCCTTTCAAGGGGGCAGTTCTTGACATGGAAAGCAGATTTCTTCGACCGCTGCCAATCCATGGCTACAGCCAACCAAAAATCCCCTGGCTCCCCCGCTTTAAAGTGGACTTATGAGAAGTTGAGTGGTCAAGGGAAATACGCAGAGGAGGCCAAACAACGCTGCCTCCCAATAGGCCTCTTGGCGCAAACCGCCAATGCTGCATTCGCGGCTTGGCGTGCCTTGCCCACTTCTGGATCCCCCCTTGCTCCGCTTAATAAGATCGTACAAGGAACTCAGGAAGATTTCTCTGAGTATGTTAGTAGGCTCTTGGAAGCAACTGAACGAACCTTAGGGCAAGAAGCGTCTAATGATCAGCTTGTGAGACGCTTAGCATATGAAAATGCTAACAATGCCTGTCGGTCTGCCTTACGCGGGAAGTGGAGAGATAAAACATTAGAGGAAATGATACGTATGTGCAGAGATGTAGATCCCTTCACTACCAAAATGTCCCAGGCCGTACATCTGGCCATAGGGGCAGCTCTCCAAACCGGGGACTCCCAAAAGGCATGCTTCCGGTGTGGTCAACCTGGCCATTTTGCCCGACAGTGCCCTAGTGCCCCTGACACTCCCTCCGCTCCAATCAGCAATAAGGCTTCCCAACCCTCCACCCTCTGCCCTCGGTGTAGGAAAGGGAAACACTGGGCAAATACCTGCCGCTCAACTACAGACGTTCATGGCCACCCTTTACAGGGAAACGGTCGGAGGGGCCAGCCCCGGGCCCCCCAGTCGACTCCCTTTGCTCGGGCCTCGGGGATCAGCCTGTCCACACCCCACTCTTCAGAGCCACTGCAGGAAGCGCAGGGGTGGACTTGTGTGCCGCCTCCACCTCAGTATTGACCCCTGAGGGTGGCGTCCATATTATTCCTACAGGCATCTTTGGCCCCCCGCCCCCTGACTTCTATTTTTTCATCCTTGGTCGCGCCTCCGCTACTATTAATGGCCTCATGATTCACCCCTCCATTGTGGATAGTGATTACACGGGGGAAATTCAGATACTTGCCTCAACCCTGAAAGGGCCCCTCACTGTCCGTCAGGGACAACGCCTTGCGCAGGCTCTCCCGCTCCCCCTACAGACTCCATACCCTGCTCTCGCCACTGTTAGAGGCCACTCCAAGCCTGGTTCCTCAGACATCTATTGGGTCCAGGCCATTTCCCAAGACCGCCCCATGCTTACGCTTTTTATTCAAGGCAGGCTTTTTGAAGGAATATTAGATTCAGGAGCTGACTCGACTGTTATTCAAAAGACAGTTGGCCATCTTCGTGGCCCCTTCAACCATCCATGACACACTTGCAGGGCATAGGTCAATCCCACAATACCTACAGAGCTCTCAATGGCTGCCTTGGCAAGACAAAGAAGGAAATAAAGGGACTGTTCGGCCTTTTGTGATCCCCGGCTTACCTGTCAACTTATGGGGAAGGGACATTCTTTCACAGATGGGGGTAATTATGTGCAGCCCAAATACCGTTGTGACCCGTCAAATGCTCTCCCAGGGATTTCTCCCAGGGCAAGGATTAGGCAAGAAAGGTCAAGGGCAACTGTCCCCATTGTTGCTGAAGGGAGAAAAGGACGAGCAGGCCTTGGTTGTGAGAGCCCAGATAATCAGAACCATTTTTCGTGAGGGCCACGGGTCCTCCTGCACTCCAGGCAGATAGGATCTCGTGGAGAAATGACCTACCCGTCTGGGTAGACCAGTGGCCCTTACCCAAGAAAAAACTGGAGGCAGCGCTTGCTTTAGTGCAGGAGCAACTAGCTGCAGGTCACATAGAACCATCTACATCCCCGTGGAACACGCCCATTTTTGTTATCCAAAAAAGATCAGGTAAATGGCGACTCTTACATGATTTACGGGCCGTCAATAAAACTATGATTCCTATGGGGGCCCTTCAACCTGGGCTCCCCTCCCCTGTAGCCATACCGCAAGATTTTTCTAAGATTACAATTGATCTTAAGGATTGCTTCTTTTCCATTCCCCTCCACCCTTCCGATTGTCAGCGCTTCGCTTTTAGTGTTCCTATTACCAATTGTGTGGGCCCTTCTCCGCGCTTTCAGTGGAAAGTTTTGCCACAAGGCATGGCTAATAGCCCTACGCTGTGCCAAAAATATGTTGCCCAAACAATTGATCCTTTCCGCTTGCAGTATCCCAAGCTTTATATTATCCATTATATGGACGATATCCTCCTTGCAGGACCAAATAATGAGGAATTGACTCAGGTATCACAGGAGCTCATTAAGGCGTTGGAATATCGGGGCCTTAATATTTCCCCTGATAAAGTACAAACCTGCCCCCCCCAGCTTCTTGGGATTTGAACTCTTGACGAATCGCATTCTCTCCCAGAAGGTTCGCCTACGAGTGAGTCACCTTTGCTCCCTTAATGATTTCCAAAAATTACTGGGAGAATTGAATTGGCTTCGGCCATATCTTAAGATCACTACAGGGGAACTGCGACCCTTGTTTGATATTCTTAAAGGAGACTCCGATCCAAATTCACCCCGCTCTCTCACGCCGGAGGCCCGTAAGGCCCTTGCCTTAATTGAGCAAGCCATTCATGAACAACATATTGGCTATTACGCTCCTCAAAAACCTCTTTGGTTCTTAATTTTTTCCACCACTTTTTCCCCACTGGATTGTTATGGCAGGACATCCGTTATTCTGGATTCATATGCCAGCCACACCTACAAAGATCCTTTCTTCCTACCCGCATTTAACGGCAGGGCTCCTGCGCCTCGGCCGAGAGGCAGCCCTTCGACTTTTTGGTCGAGAACCAGATCATATTGTTTGCCCCTACACTGCTTCGCAGATTCAATGGCTGCTTCAGAATGATGATGATTGGGCAGTTAATTGCATTTCCTATATGGGAGCTATAGACAATCATTATCCCTCAGATAAGCTCATTCAGTTCTTTCAGAAAACACCCGTGGTCTTCCCAAGGATCACCAAAGCGGAGCCCATAGAGAGCGCCCATTTGGCGTTCACTGATGGTCCGCCACAGGGAAGGCAGCCTTTAGTGTTGATGGACAGGTCACCTCTTTTGACACCCCTTTCACCTCCGCGCAGCTGGTAGAGCTCGCAGCGGTCATTAAGGTTTTTGAATCTGTCTCGGGCCCCCTCAATGTTTATACTGATAGTTCCTATATTGCACAGTCAGTCCCTCTATTGGAAACCGTCCCGTATATCCGTCCCTCCACTAATGCGTCTCCTCTTTTTGCCACTCTTCAGCTTCTAATTCTCTCCCGCGATCACCCCTTTTTCATTGGTCATATTCGTGCCCATTCCGACCTCCCCGGTCCTCTTTCTGAAGGGAATGATCAGGTTGATCAAGTAACTCGTCGCATTCTGCTTGCTCTGTCTGCCTCCCTGTTGAGGCTGCCACACAAGCCCACAAGCTGCATCACCTGAATGCCCATACGCTTCGTCTCAAGTTCCCTATAACCCGGGAACAAGCCAGACAGATTGTGAAACAGTGCCCTGGTTGCCTGACCCTCCTTCCTGAACCTCATAATGGCATCAATCCCCGAGGTCTTATCCCCGGGGAACTTTGGCAAATGGATGTCACTCACTATCCCCCTTTTGGTCGGCTTAAATATGTTCATGTGTCCATTGATACCTTCAGTGGCTTCATTTTTGCCACCCTGCAACCTGGAGAGGCCACCAAACATGTCATTAATCACCTCCTTAGTGCCTTGGCGGTCCTCCCGCAGCCCAAAATTCTTAAGACAGATAATGGCCCTGGTTATACCAGTTCTTCTTTCAGATCTTTTTGTACACAGTTGCATATTAAGCATGTTACTGGTATACCCTATAATCCTCAAGGGCAAGGAATTGTGGAAAGGGCCCATCAGACACTGAAAAACATGATCCTGAAATTACAATCAGGGAGGGAAGTTCTTTATCCCAGAGCTGGCAATGCCAAAACATTGCTCAATCACGCTCTTTTTGTTTTAAATTTTCTCACTCTGGACACTGCGGCAAAGAGTGCCGCAGACCGCCTTTGGCATTCCACTACGGCCCAAACCTACGCTCAGGCAAAATGGAAAGATCCCCTGCTTGGCAAATGGCAGGGCCCTGATCCTGTGTTAATCTGGGGCAAAGGCCATGCTTGTATTTATGACTCAAAGTGCCAAAATGCTAGATGGTTGCCTGAAAGGCTGATTAGGTTGATGGACAAGCCAGAAACTCATAATGCCGTCCAGGGAACCACACCCCCCTGAGACACCTCTGTTTTCTTTCTCTGTTTTACAGAAAATGACGATCCTCGTAATTTTCCTCCTGTTCCGTGGGAGCCACGGTGGTTTTCAATCTCCTGACCCAGTAGCGCTCAGCCGTGCCCTCTTTGGAAGCCCTTGTGACTGCGGCGGGGGCACGTTCACTGTCCGTCCCGCCACCTACACGCAAGAAGTGGACTGCGGGGAAAAGACAGCCTACCTCGCCTACCGTCATTCTATCACGGGCGTCTCCAAACCCAAGTGGGAATGCGTAAGGAAGCCCCGAGTTATCCCTCCGAATGGTGGCCAGCCCGGGCCTTGCCCCAGTGATTGCAACTACCTTGAGGCCTTGCACTCCACATGCTATAGTTCTACCCAGCAGTGCAGTGGCAGCTCAGGAACAGTCTATCTTACTACAATACAGAAGAGAATATGGCTGGCACGGGAGGGGATTACTAGCCAAGGCCTACGTGGAAGTCCAATAAGTATGCTCAGGCTTCCTGTCAAAGAAAATATTGGAAAAAATGTCTGTTGGCCCCTTCATGCACCTGTCCATATCTCTGATGGGGGTGGCCCTACAGACCAAATTAGGGAACATGAGGTTAGGGAACGAATAAACGAAATAATTAAGAGTATGTACCCCCCATCCATTACCATCCACTTGCACTGCCCAAACCCCGGGGAACGGACCTAGATGTCCAAACTTCAGAAATCCTTGAAGCAACACTTAAGGCCCTTAATTACTCTAACCCTGATTTGGCTGCCGATTGCTGGCTGTGTATGGCCCTTGGCACACCTATGCCCATAGCTTTGATGTCCAAATGGCTCCACATCCACAAATTGCACACTTAGTCCACCTTTTAAGGTACAACCTGTTGGTCTCCGCCCCTCTCCTTGTATCCAAGCCCCATTTCAGAATTCCACTGCTGATATTGATGTTGGTTTTGCTACCTTTGCTAATTGCTCTGAAGTCAAAAACTATACCTCACAGGAACCTCTCTGTCCCCTGCCGGGACAACTTTTCGCCTGTGGGGGAAATATGGCCTACTCTGCTCTCCCCCAGAATTGGACAGGACTCTGCACACAAATTTCAATCCTCCCTGATATCGACATCATTCCGGGAGATGAGCCTGTCCCACTGCCCAGTTTTGATTATATTACTGGAAGACCCAAGAGGGCTGTTGCATTTATCCCCCTCCTTGTTGGCCTTGGGATTACAGGGGCACTCGCTACCGGCTCTGCCGGCATAGGAGTTGCTGTTGATTCATATACAAAACTATCCCATCAATTTCTTAATGATGTGCAAACCCTCTCGGGGACGATAAATGACCTTCAAGACCAAATTGACTCCCTGGCGGGAGTCGTTCTTCAGAATAGGAGGGGCCTAGATTTACTCACGGCAGAACAAGGGGGAATTTGCTTAGCCCTACAAGAAAAATGTTGCTTCTATGCAAATAAATCTGGGATAGTGCGGGATAAAATCAAAAAACTGCAAGAGGATCTGATTGAAAGACGCAAAAACTTTTTGAAAATCCCCTCTGGAGTGGCTTGAATGGAGTCCTCCCATACCTCCTCCCTCTTCTTGGACCTTTAATTGGTCTCCTCCTACTTTTTCTTTTGGACCTTGGGCCTTTACTAGACTAACCTCTTTCATTAAGACGCAGATTGAGGCTTCTCTTAAAAACACCGTCAATATCCATTACCACCAACTTGCTTCGTCAGAAGATCCTACTGATACCATGGAAGAGGGTCTCCAGTTCTCGAAGCTCGTGCATCCGGAATCTCGCTGCTCGCGGTGGTGGAGAAATCTTAAGGATAAAAAGTGACCTGGCAGCTGTGAGAGAGCCCATGACGGGAATATTGAGGTCCCATGTTTCAAAAAAGATCAGCGCGGCTGCAGTTGCTTCCCCATGACGGGAATAGAGTGAGGCCATGATGGGTTACATCGTGGGGTCCCCTCGCTTAGCCTAAGACAGGGACCACTGCCACTAATGCGCTTTGAACATGGAGGCCGACCTCATAGCCTAAGACAGGCCTCTCACCTGCTATTTTAAATAAAAAGGGGGACATGCTGGAGGCCAGCACCTGGTAGTGGGCCCCTAACCCCGTGAGATTACCACACCCCAAGCAGCTTGTTCCGGGACAAACCGTACCATAACGTGTTCCTGTCAGGGCTAACCGCAAGATGTTGCCACACCGCCCCTGGAAAGTCCCGGAGGCCATTTTCCCCTTTTGCCCCTCCCCGCTTTTGCCCTATATAAGCTTGTAACGCCAAAAATAAAATTAGACCTTGCCTACCATCCTTTTGGTCTCACTCCTCCTTTTCACCCATTCCCTTCAGCCAGGGTCCTCCTCGACCCCCCACGTATACTGGCCCTGCAGGTCGGGGCAGGGAGGATACAATGAAATGAGAGAATGTGAACTCAACATCAAGGCTGGAGAGTCACATTTGGAATTCTTCATCTTGCAACAACAAAAACCAGTGAAAAAAATCCTTCTATAGCTAAAACAGTCAATACTTTTATTTTTACACATCACAATATAAATGTAAGCTGCATTTCTGTCCCACTGCTCCCTTCTAAACGGTTTCTTCTTTGACAGAAGTGGGAGCAAGTCTTCCTTGCCATGCTGTTGGAAAACACCCCAGAAGGTGCAGCACCATGGTGTTTGGGTGGAGTAGAACAAGGAATAAAAAAGTGACACGAACAGATTTCCCTTTATTCTTATCTGTCTGGGCGGGTCATTCCTGGCCGAGTGGGCACCATCATGGGACGCGCAGGAGGTCTCATCATTGGGGGTCCAGGCATCATAGGCATGTGGCCTCCCATGGGCGGCCTCATCCCAGGAGCTACAGGGTTGTAACAAAACACAAGTACATCAGAAGTCAGTCACGAGAGACATTCTAGATTGCCTTTTACCCTCTCCTTTCCCATTCTCCATCTGTAATCTGCTTACAAAGCATACTAGAGGAAATGCTGCAAAATCTTTCTGTCTGTAAATCATGGATGACCCAAAGATAGGGCAACTATTAAAAGACTACTTTGAAAAAATTTGGCTCCTTTTCAGAAGGCACAAGTGATGATAGTTCCCCAAATTGTCTTCATTTCCCTCACACTGGGGAAATGCACAGTTGAGTCACATAAATCAGCCCTTTAAGTCTGTTAGGCCTCACATAATCAGGGGCTATTTCACTATAATGAATGTGAGCAGAACACAGTGGGCAATTCTGCCTCCAAAAGTTAGTGTGCAATTTGGTGAGAACAGGGAGTGGGAGTCGTGATAAGAATGTGTTAATAACCATGTACAGCTCATGGCCATACAAGAGACTATGATGTAATTAATGAAAACTGGGAAGAAAAAAAAGGTGATGTCTAGGGCCCCTTGGCACCTGTGACCAAAAAGGTTTATAAAATGTTCTATCATTATGCAAGCTAAGCTAATAAGCATGGATCTACTGTCCCAAGGTTTGACTATAAAATTGAAAAAATCCATAAGAAATGGGTAGTAGGCAAGAATTTTGGTACCTATAACCTATCCAGTGGTGTTGCACTAAGACTGACAAAAGTCATGATATCATTCAGCATGATATAACTGGAAGTGCACTGGACTTAGAATCCAAAGACAAGCTGGTAACAAGCTGGCTATGTAATCCAGAATAAAGCAATGTGTCTGTTACTCAGATTCCTCACCTGTAGAAGGGCATATGCCCAGAATACCTACGTCACAAGATGGTCGTGATGAAAAGGGCTAGATAAATGTGAGCTACTTTACCAAAACTATGGATTAATTCCACATTGCACCAGTGGTAAATATGCAAACTAGATGAAAAATGACCCTTCAATGTCATTGTCTATAAATGGTTTGATCCTTAATCAGCAAATGACCTTGCCTCTTTAGGTGATGGGAACTGGTAAAAACTCTGCTCCAAAATTCAGTAACTAAGTTGGTTGTGCAAATAACTATCTACCGACCCATACACTCATTACAAATGAGGCCAGAAACTGAGAAGTAACAGGGGAAGGGGGAGCAGGAGGGTGTGTTGAAGAACCTAAAAAAGAAGCCAGAACCATGTTATGGTGTTGCTTTATTTGTAATGGCAACAGAAGGTCATTTGGCATCCTCCTACCTACATTGAGAACCAACAAGCAACAGCTTCATTACTTCTTTATAAATAGGATTCATTAAAAATTACTTCACTAGAGAGAGAGAATTAAGACAGCAAACTAGGGGTCCTATTTAATTTCCCTGCGGGAGGAAAAGAGGTTCAAACTTACCAGGCCCCACAGGCATCATTCCAGGAGGAGGAGGGCCCATCATTGGCATCATAGGGGGCCCTCCCATATGGGGTGCTGGCATCATACCAGGTCGAGGAGGTCCCGCTGAAAGAAAACATCCATCTTGGGGTTAGGGATGTTAACATATAGAAAATGTGTACTTGTGACTTAAAACAGGTTCTCATTAACATGCCAACATTCTTCAACAAAAAGCCTATTATAGTTTTTCTCCACCTTTGGCTTCACAGCAGTATGCTATAAAACTCATGGGGTTATATGGCTAAACACATGAAATAGCCAGTTTGCACACAAGGGCCAACAATCTCCAAGGGAAGTTTATTCAAAGAAAGCAATGGTAGCTTTTACAGAATTCAAGGTAAAGAGCTGAAGAGGGACTAAAGTGAATGATATTCCTAAATTTGGAAACATCATTTTAAGATGTTCTTTGAAAGGCAGTATTTCTTAAATACATTAAAAACTATATGCAGATTTCTACTTTAGGCAGGTTTAGACTCTTAAAATCTTACTATACCACTCACTCAACACAGTCTAACAAATTCTTACATTGTACTTCTTGACAACCTCACCTGCTCATTCTATAGCTTTTATCAATCAATGATATTGAACATGGTCAGACAGATGAAATGGCACATAGACATATGCTCAGACCAACTTGCTATATAACTTCCAGAAATAACATAAAAGTCAGGACCAGCTATATTACATTGCTTGCCCCTACTTTCCTCAATACCTTAAGTTAATGCTGTCTGGGATTACTTCCCATTTATTTTGTGTATAACTTGTTTGTACACAGATCTTTATACACTGTCACCCCCTTTAGAAAGTTAGCTCTTTGTAAGCAAGGAGTTTTGTTTGGGTTGGTTGGGGGTTTTTTAGGGGTTATTTTTGCTTTTTTTTTTTTTTTGTATTTCCAGTGCTCAGCTGAGTGTGTGCACATAATAAGCACTTAATAAATGCTTGTTGATAGACTGACTACCCAAGGGTCCTGTGTTTGCAGCAACTGTATATAGAAAGCCTATCAGAAAATACTCCCAAGGTAACCTAGCAGTTCTAGATTTCAAACTATATTACAAAGTAGTAATCATCAAAACAATCTGGTACTAGCCAAGAAATAAGAGTAGTGGATCAGTGGAATAGGGTACACAATACAACAGCAGTAAATGACCATAGTAACCCAGTGTTTGATATATCCAAAGATTCAAGCTTTTGGGATAAGAACCAACCATTTGACAAAAATTGCTGGGAAAACTGGAAAGCAGTTTGGCAGAAACTAGGCGCACACCAACATCTCACACCATATACCAAGATAAAATGAAAATGGATACATGATTTATATACAAAGGATGATATCATAAATTAATTGGGGGGATGTGAAAAAAATGTATCTTTAAGTTCTATGGATAAGGGAAGAGTTTATGACCAAACAAGAGATAGAGAGGACTGCAGGAAGTAAAATAGATAATTTTGATTATGTGAAATTAAAAAGCTTTTGCATAAACAAATAAATGCAGCCAAAAACTGGGGGAAAAATTTTTACAGCAAGTTTTTCTGATAAAGGTCTCATTTCTCAAATATATAGAGAACTGAGCCAAATTTATAAAAGAGACATTACTTACTTGATAAATGGTCAAAAGATATGAACAGGCAGTTTCCAGAAGAAGAAATCAAAGCTATCAATAATCACATGAAAAAAATGCTTCAAATCACTACTGATTAGAGAAATGCAAATTAAAACAACTCTGAGATACTACTTCCCATCTATCAGATTGGCTAACATGACACAAAAAGAAAATGACAAATGTTGGAGGCAATATAGAAAAACTGGGACACTAATTCACTGTTGATGGAGTTGTAAACTAGTCCAACCATTCTGAAGAATGAACTGGAACTATGCCCAAAGGGCTAAAAAACTGTGCATACCTTTTGACCCAGCTATTACAATAACTACTAGATCTGTGTCCCAAAGAGATGGAAGAAATGAGAAAAGAGCCTATTTGTATGAAAATATTTGTAGCAGCTCTTTTTGCAGTAGCAAAGAATTGGAAATCAAGAGGATGTCCCTCAATTGGGGAATGGCTGAACAAACTGTGGTATGTAATTGTGATGGAATATTATTATACTATAACAAATGACGAGCAGGATGCTTTAGAAAAACCTGAGAAGACTTATATGAACTGATGCAAAGTGAAGTGAGCAGAACCAGAAGGCTAGTGTACACAGTAACAATAATATTGTAAGGATGATCAACTGTGAAAGACTTAGCTACTTTGGTCAAGACAATGATTCAAGACAATTCCAGAGGACTCATGATGAAAGATGTTACCCACCTCCAGAAAGAGAACTGATCAAACTCTGAATGCAGACTGAAGCATACTTTTTTCTACTTCTTTTGTACTATTTTATTTTGTTTGTGTTTTCTTTTGCAACATGGCTAATATGGAAATATGTTTCTCATGATGTCACATGTATAATCAATGTTAAATTGTTTGCCTTCTCACAGACGGAGGAGTGGAAGGAGGGAAAGAGAGAATGTGGAACTCAAAATTTTAAAAAATGAGTGTTAATTTGGTCAGGAAATATTTAACAAAATAAAAATAATTTTAAAAATACTCCCAATTCTGTGTAGATAATAATAGCTAACTTTTATATAGCACATTAGTGTTTTGTGATCACACTATCTCATTTAATCCTCACAATAATTCTATGAGGCAGATGTTAAAAGATTATTATCCTAACAGGATAGCTGGCCTCAGAACCAGGAAGCCCTGGTGGTTCAAGTGCCACCTTACCACATATTGTGATCTTGGGCAAGTCACTTAAACTAGTAATTTTCTAAGATGAGAAGGTGATGATCTATATTAATAGAGGGACTTTGCTTTCCCAAGAGTTCCTTAAACCAATGAAATCAAAGCTCCAGTACCTATCCCTATTCTATCATTTGTTTAGCCATTTGCCAACTGATGGGGTCCTCCTCTGTTTATTGTTCTTTGCTATAATAAAAAGAGTTATTATAAATATTTTTGTACTGATGGGTCCTCTTTCTCATTTTGCTGAGACTTTTTAATTTTATGTAATCAAAATTGGCCATTTTATCTTCTGTGATCCTCTCTATCACAGTATGGTCTGCACAATATAGCTGCAAAAGATGTTTTCTTCCTTGCTCCTTTAATTTGTGTATGATGTGACTGTTTATATCTAGGTCATGTATCCATTTGGAGCTTACTGTGGTATATGACATGAACTGTTAGTTTAAGCCTAATTTCTACTGGAATGCTTTCCAGGTTTTTCAGCTATTTTTTTAAACAACAAATCATTAACCCAGTAGATAAGGTTTTTCAGTTTATCAAATATCAATATTAGAGGTGAAATTTGAACCCAAGTCTTTCCAAATTCCAATTCCCATGTTCTTTCCATTCTGCCACACTGCCTCTCTATATGATTATAACAGCTTTTGTTTTTTACTAACGAGGAAAACAATCTTCAGATATAAGGTAAAGAAAAGGTTAACAGAGGCTTGATAGTAAAGATGAGGTAAGAACATTCAGCTGTTCTCAGTGGGTTCAAGTCAAAAGGCCCAGAGAACTATATCCCATTGCATTTAAAGAACTGGTAAATGTGATTGCTCAATCACTGTCAGTGTTATCTTAAAAAATCTTGGGCAACAGAGAAGACACCCTATGATGATTGATAGTGAAACATTATCCTGATCACTTCCTAAAAGGAGAAAGAGGTTGAATTTTTCAAACTACAGGCCAAAGAGCTGAATTTAAATTTTTGGCAAAATCCTAGAAAGTGCTACTAAAGGTATGGCTTATGCAACTATGATAACTAAAATTTGACATAGGTTGAACAAAAGCAAGTCATACCAAAAATGGGAACAGTCAATGCTGGAGGAGCTGTGGGAAGATGGGCACAGAAATGAGTACAATGCCAGCAGTGCCATGAATGGGTCATGGGATTATAGGGTCTAGGGATGGATGGGCCCTGGGAGCCCCTTGTTGTTGTTCATGTGGTTTTCAGTTGTTTCCAACTCTTTGTGGCTCCATTTGGGGTTTTCTGGGCAAAGAGAGTGGAGTGGTTTGCCATTTCCTCTCCCGTTCATTTTACAGATAAGGAAATGAGGCAAATGGGATTAAGTGACTTGTCCAGAGTCACACAGCTAGTAAGTGTACGAGGCCAAATTTGAACTCAAGAACATAAATCTTCCTGCCTCAAGTCCCAGCACTTTATCCAATGTGTCACCTAGCTGCTCCAATGATCCCTTATGGATATCAATTTATTTATTTATTTTTGGCTAGGCAATGACTTGCCCAGGATCACACAGATAGTGTCAAGTGTCTGACGCTGAATTTGAACTCAGGTCCTCCTGACTCCAAGGCCAGAGCTCTATCCACTGCACCACCTAGCTGCCCTTATGGATACCAATTTAAAATTATTCCAGAAAAGTGACTGAACTACTTTTTGATACAGGGTTCCTCCTATGGGGGTAACCCAAGGAAGTTAAGGTCTGTATATCAAAATATTCAAAGCAAAACTTTTTGTGGCAGCAAAGAACTGGAAACAAAATGGGTGCCTACTCACTGAAGAAAGACTGAAAAAAAATGGTAGAATATTACTGTGTAGTAAAATGATGAATCCAAAGGATTGAGAGAAAAATATAAAGATTTGTATGAACTGGGGCAAAATGAAATAAGTAGAACCAAAGAACAATATATACAATATCCAAAATAACATAAATAAGCACAAAGCTAAGCTCACAGAAACTAAAAGAACAGTGATGGTCCTAGAGATAATGAACATAAACTTTGCCTTTCTCATAAAAGGATATTATAAGATTATAAAATTAAATTAAAGAGTATAATGCTGTAAAAACATTGTTAGTCTTGTTCAGAGAATTGAGTACTTTTGTTTATTTTTCTTTGTTACAAAAGAGTTCAATTTGAAGGAGGTATAATTTTAGAAACGACTACTGCAATAACAGAAAACTTTAATAAAATTTATTTTAAGGAAAGAACAGATTATCTGGAATTACCTTCATCTCATTTTTGACAATGCTACTAGACTGGTGGGTCAGGAATATTGTAGATAGAGTATACCTGGGTCTCAGCTGGCATTTAACAAAGTCTACCCTGATATCCTATTAGATAAGATGGAGAGATGGGGGCTAAATAAAAGTACCATAATTTGAATTAAGAACTAAACGGCCAGATCCAAAGAGTAGTGATTACAGAAGCAAAGTCAACCTTGAGGAATGTCTCTAGAGTGATGCCAAAGATACAGTGATACAATTGTATCAGTGATTTAGATCAAGAAATAGTTGAAACAAAGCTGAGAGCTAATTAATATGCTGGATGTCAAAACACCCTGATGAATTAGAATTATTGGTTCAATCTAACAAGATAAAACTCAACAGGTATAACTGCAAAGCTTACACGAGTTAAAAAACATCAACCATACAAATACAGAATAAGGGAGCCATGGCTGAACAATAGTACCTACAAAAAATATTTGAAGGTTTTTTAGTGTACTGCAAATTCAAAATAAATTAACAGTAGTAAGTGGCAATTTATGACATAACCAGAAAAACTGAATTTAATTTTAGGCTTCGTTAACAGAAGCTCTGTGTCCAAAATGAGGAAGTCTAACATCCCACTGTACTGTGCCCTAGTCAGACTACTTGAGAGGGTCAGAGGCATGGATGGGAAGGCAGGGAAAGCATCCAGATGTAAAATTAGAAACCATGCCCTATGGAAATCTGTTAAAGGAATTGGAAATGTTTAATCTGAAGAAGAGAAGATTCAGCCAAGGCACACAACTTATCTCCAAGTATTTGAAAGGTTATCATGATCAATTGGGGAACAGCTAAACAAGTTGTGACATATGATTGTGATGGAGTACTATTGTGCTATAAGAAATGACAAGGGGGATAGTTTCAGAAAAAAAAACCATAGCAAGACCTATAGAAACTAATGCAAAGTGGAGTGAGAAGATCATTATGCATAGTTCTAATGATGATCAACTGTGAAAGACTTGGCTACTCTGATCAATATAGTGATCCAAGATAATTCCAAAGGATTCATGACAAAAAAATGCTGTCCACCTCCAGAGAGAGAACTGATGAACTCTGAGTGCAAACTGAAGTATAATCTTCTCACTTTTTTGTGATATGGCTAATATGGAAATGTTTTTCATGATTTCACACGTATATTCGATATTCTGCTTGTATTCTCAGTGGGTAGGTGGGGTGGGAGGGAGGGAGAGAATTTGGAACTCAAAATTTAAAAAGAAAAGAATGTTTAAATAAATAAATAAATAACGTGTGTGTACTTTTTTATTTTTTTGGCAATTGGGGTTAAGTGACTTGCCCAGGATCACACAGATAGTAAGTGTCAAGTGTTTGGTCTGAGGCCGCATTTGAAATCAGGTCTTCCTGACTTCAGGGCTGGTGCTCTATCCACTGCACTACCTAGCTGCCCTGTGTGCTTTTTTTTAAAAAAGGCTATTGTGTGGAAGAGGAATTAAACTGGTTCTGATTAGCCTTAGAAGGCAGAAGAGCAAAGGGTGTAAGCTTCAGAGATGGATCTGTTTAAGATCTGTTGACTGGGTCAACAAAAGGAAAAGCTTCCCAACAAATAGTTGCAGAAAAGGCCACTTTAGGAGGTAGTGGATTCCTCATCACTGGAAATTTTCAAGCACAGAACAAGTTTCCCTGTTAAGGTCTGATTCTCAAGATATATAAAGAACTGATTCAAATTTATAACAATAAGAGCCATTTTCCAATTAATAAATGGCATATGAACAGGACATTTTTCAAAGAAAGAAATGCACATTATCAACAACAACATGAAAAAAATGCTTTAAATTTCTAATAATTAGAAGAATAAAATTAAAGTAACTGTGAGGTTCCTGCTTCCACTCATCAGACTGGCAAGATGGATTGAATGCTGGACCTCAAATTAGGAAGACCTGAGTTCAAATCTAGCCTGAGATGTTTACTAGTTATAAAATGTTGGGTGACAGCCTCTCACTGCCTCAGTTTCCTCATCTATAAAATGGGGATAATAACAGCATCCATCTCCTAGGGTTGTTGTGCGGATAAAATGAGATAATATTTATAAAACACTATTTATTTAAGTGCTGGCTGTTAATATAACAAAAAAATTACAAATGTTGGAACGGCTGTGGAAAGAAGGTACATTAAGGAGGTAAGGAAAGAAACAAGTGTTTATTAAGGTGCTTTATAAATATTATCTAATTCAATCCTCACAACTCTGAGAGATAGATGCTGAGGAAGCTGAAACAGACAGAGGTAGTGTTTAAGGGTGCATTTGAACTCAGGTCTTTCGGATTCTGGGCCCAGCACTCTATCCACTCAGCCACTTGGTTACACAGCTGGTGGAGTTGTGAATTAGTCCAAGCAGTCTCGAATGCCTGGCACATAGCAGGCTCTTAATAAATGTTTGCTCACTTGATGAAACTGTTTATGCCCTTTGATTCAAAGATTGCATTACTAGAGCTCTAACCCAAAAAGAAATAAGAAATGGAAATCAGGGGGCAGCTAGGTGGGGCAGTGGATAGAACACTGGCCCTGGATTCAGAGGACCTGAGTTCAAATCCGACCTCAGACACATCACACTTACTAGCTGTGTGACCCTGGGCAAGTCACTTAACCCCACTGCCTAGCAAAAACTAAAAAAAAAAAAAATGGAAATCAATGACCATAAAAAAGGGAAAAGGACCCACATGTACAAAAATATTTATAGCAGGTCTTTTTGTAGTGGCAAAGAACTGGAAATTGAGGGGATGCCCATCAACTGGGGAATAGCTGAACAAATTGTGGTATATCAACGTAATGTTGTTCCACAGGAAGTTGTGAGCAGGTGGATTTCAGAAAAACTTGGAAAGATTTGCATGAACTGATGCTGAGTGAAGTGAGCAGAACCAGGAGAACATATAGTAACAGCAATATTGTTTGATGACTGGCTTTGTTAGACTTAGCTCTTCTCAGCAATGCAATGATCTAAGACAGTTCCAAAAGACTAATGATGCTATTCACATCCAGAGAAAAAACCATGGAGTCTGAACGCAGATCAAAGCATACTATTTCTCTCTCTTTTTTATTTTCTTTCTCATGGTTTTTCTCTTTTGCTCTGATTCTTCTTTTACAACATGACTAATGTGGAAATATGTTTAATATGATTGCACACATATAGTCTACACCAGATTGCATGCTGTCTTGGAGGGGAGGAGAGAAAGGAGAGGGGAACAATTTAGAACTCCAAATCTTATAAAAGTGAATGCTGAAAACTAATAATTAATTAAAAAAAGAAATGGAAATCTAGGGGGTGCTCATCAATTCAGGAATGGCTGAGCAAACTTCTGAGAAGTCTAGATTTGTATGATTGGTTTCAGCATGAAGTAAGCGGAACCAGGAGAACAAAGTATACGATAACAAACACTGTAAAGATGCAACTTTGAAAGAATTAAGAACACTTAATAGCTGCCAAGACCAACCACAATTTCAGAGGATCAGTGACGAAGCATGATACCCATCTCATGATGGAGAGGTGATAAACTCAAGATGTAGAATGAGACATACATTTCTGGACATAGGGAATGTGAGATTTGTTTTTAGTTGACTATGCATATTCGTTATACGGGAAGAGGGTGAGAAAAGTAATGTCTGTTAATTGAGGGAGAAAAGGAAAAGAAAAAATGAAAAAGAAAAAACCAGACAATAAGCACAGGCTAGGTCAGGTGACCTATTGATGATCTGTTTCAGATATGGATTGGATCATATGACCTCTGAAGTCCTTTAACCACTCTGAAATTTTGTATAAACTACTGAGAGTACTGCCTAATCTTGTCATTTCATTATTTGGATTCTTAACCTTTTTTGTGTCATGGGCCCCTTCTCAGATGTTTTTAAATATATACAATAAGACATACTGGATTATAAAGGAAACCAATTACATTGAAAATTATCAAAATATTTTTTAAAAATAAGTTCATAGACCCCAAATTAAGAACTCCTGGTTTAGGTTCTTAAACTTTTCTCCACAGACTATATTGATAAGATCAAAGACCCTGTAAACCATGTACTCTAGCTTATCTGTTGTGTGAGGGTAGGGGGGTGGTGACAAGAGAGAATAAAAATTGTTCTCTGAGAAAGAATATCCTTTGATCTACTCTAGGTGTGGTAGGGAAAGCAGGTCTGATGTCTGCCCAGGTATTCTTAAGCTGCAGTTTGTAAGCTTCTAGCAGTGATGTAATTAAGTATAAACAGTGACAACACATGCTGCCTTTTGTGTTCGAATCAGCCTACAGACATAGAACTCCTGGTGGCACAGGCTATTAGTCCAGTAATCAAAAGCTAACTGTTGAAATGGTCATAAAAAAATCATTACCCTATGAAAGCCATTCTCCATCCGTTCACCAAGCATTTACTAAACACTAATTTTAATTAAGGGTCATTTTGAATAAAATCTAAGATAATAATGCCCCAAATTCCAAACAAAAAAAAAGCAAAATCAAAAATTTCAAACTTACGGAGAGTAGGAGGAGGTGGGATCATAGCCCCTCCTGGTGGAGGAGCAGAGAATGGATTGGGAGGAATTTTTCCTTGCTGAAATGCAGCAGCTTTGGAGGGAAAAAAAAAATAGAAACACAAATAAGAATCTTAGATGATCATAATTTTTCTACTCTGTTTTTTAAAACAAATGCTTTAAAAATTTTTCAGTAACCATCATATATGTCAGTCAACAATCATTTATTAAGTGTTTACAAAGTTCTCAACCCTGCGGATACAAAAAGAAAGGCAAAAAATAGTCCTGTTCTCAAGGAGTGTGCATTCTAACTTGTAAATACTTAGGTATATACAAGATCTATAATGAGCACATAAAGCTAATCTGAAAGAGCTGGCAAGGGCTAATCAGGAAAAGCCTCTTGCAGAAGGTGGAGTTTGAGGGCTGAGCCTTAAAGGAAGCCAGGGAAGAGGTGAGGAGGGAAAGCATTCAAGGTGTGGAAGCCAAAGGAGTGAGATGGTATATTATTTTCAAGAAGCCTGTAAGTTGGTCAGTGAAACTGGATAGCAGAGGCTGGGGAGGGGAGCAGAGTATTAAGCAGGAAAGGTAGGGAGGGGACAGGCTAGAAAGCTTTGAATGCCAAAGACAGGAGTTTATATTTGATGCTGAAGGTAAAAGGGAGCCTCTGGAAATTCTTGAGCAGAGGGGTGACATGGCCAGACTTACTCTTTAAGGAAACCTTACCTTAGCAGCTGAGTAGGGGATGACCTGGAATGGGTAGAGACTTCATGCAGGGAAATCAGTTGGAAGACTAATGCAACAATCTCGTGAAGGGTGATAAACTTGGTGAGGGTGTGAACTAGAGTTGTGGCTGAATGAGAAGAGAGAAGGGGATATATATATAAGATCTATAGATGCTGTGAAGGTAGAAAAGACAACAGGGTCACAGACTGGAGGGATTGGAAGGATGATAGTGCCTTCAACAGTTACAGGGGAGATCTGTTAGGATCTGGATAGGGAGATGTGTTCTGTTTTGAAGATGCTGAACTTGAGATGCCTGTGGCACATTCACTTTGAGATGTCCAAAAGGCAGCTGCAGATGCATGACTGTAGCTCAGCATAGACATGAAGTTTGGATATATAGATCTGGGAATCATCAACAAAGAGATGATAATTGCATCCATGGGAGCTAATGAGAGTACCAAGCAAGAAAGAATAGAGTGAAAAGAAAAGGGAGCCCAGGACAGAGCTATGGGGGACACCCATGGTTAATGAGTGTGACCTGGATGACAAAGCTGACCTGGATGACAAAGCAGCAAAGGAGACTGAGAAGTAACAGTTGGACGGATAGGAAGAAAAATAAGAAAGAACAGTGTCACAAAAACCTAGAGAAGAGAGTGTATCCAGGTGAGCAACTGTGTGAAATGCTGTAGAGAGGTCAAGAAGGATGAGGATTGAGAAAAGATCTGGCAATTAAAAGATCACTGGTAACTTTGGAGAGAGTAGTTTCAATTGAATGAAGAGGTTGGAAGCCAGACTGAAGAGAGTTTAAAAAAGAATGAGAGAGAGAGAGAGAGAGAGAGAAGAGAGAGAGAGAGAGAGAGAGAGAGAGAGTGTGTCTGTGTGTGTTGTGGGGGCAAGATGTAGAGGTACCTATTGTAGATTGATTTCTCAAGGAATTTAGCCACAAAAGGGAGGAGAGATATAGGATGATCAATAGTGTGGAAGGATAGTTGGGTCAAGTAAGAGTTTTTTAAGGGTGGAGGAAACATGACATGTTTGTAGGCAATGCAGGGAAGAAGCCAGTAGATAGGGAGAGACTGAAAATTAGTGACAGTGTAAATGATAAGATGCTAGAGAAGCAAGGATGAAATGAGATCAAGGGCGATGTTAGGGGATTTGCCTTGGCTAGAAGAAGGACCACCTCTTCATCTGAGACTACAGTGAAGGAAGAGATAGTGAAGGAAGGTATCTGAGTGATGTGAGATAAGCCTGAGAAGGTTGGGGGGACTCTCCAGTTTAAACTTGAAGGATACTCATTTAACACACCTAGGCTTTCTAGGATTCAACTGGTTCAATTTTACCAGTAAAACAGAATCAAATGTAAACTCTTCCATTTGGCATTCAAAGCTTTATTTAACCTGGCCCCTCCCTACCTTTCCTACTTAATACCCTGCTCCCCTCCCCATCCTCTGCCATCCAGCTTCACTGTCCAACTCACAAGGTTTTCAAAAACAATATACCATCTCACTCCTTTGGCTGGCCCATACCTTGAGTGCTTTCCCTCCTCACCTCTTCTCTGGCTTCCTTCAAAGCACTGATCAAATTCCACCTTCTACAGGTTTTTCCTGGTTGGTCCTCAACTGATTTGCTAGTTCAATTTTACCAGCAAAAATATTTATCTAGCTTCTTTGCTTTTCACTCATTTGGCACTTCAATAGCTGAATTATATTAAATATTCAATACTCAAATCGATCTGCAATCTCATCAAGTTAGCTATTCCCTTCAACCCATCCAAGTCTGCCTCTGCTGTTCTACTCTTGTCCACGGTCTCCTCTAAGTTCACCATGGCAGGCCCACCCAATGTGCTAAAGGTATCACAGCTCCGGGATACCAGACCCATAAGTATCCATTAACTATAACCCATCATCTCTAAACATATCTGGGATTGTGATTAGCAGTCCAAGTGTAGTGGCTCTATTGTTTTTGGTGGTGAAAACAGTCTGTTATAATCATCATACATTTTTAAATAACTTTGCTGGGTTAGAAGCAGATTAAAGCAAAGAGTTTTTTCAATACTGGAAAGAAGTCATCTTTAAAACACATCCCCAGTTTACAGCAGATTTAGACTTTTAGGCATTTTCAAGAAATAGTATTACATGAAGCATATAAGCCCTTCTATATTTTCCTTAAACACAAATGGCTCCAGGGCAGTCATTTCTAATTACAATTTAGTAGAAAGAAGATGAGACACAAAGCGGATGCAAGAAGAACAGAGATAAATCAGAAAATGTTTCTATTTGTTTTTGTAATACAGTCAGCTATGGTCTTGCTCAGATGCACATTCATCTAACTCAGTCCCTGAATTCAAACTCCAAATCCTAATTCTACTCTGTCAATGCCCAAGACAATCTGACCAGTACAATGGAAAGTGATTGGGGTCATTCCAATTCAGCTAAAATGAGTATTTATCAAGCCAAGTGCCGATGTGCCAAGCATAAGTTATAAGGGTAAAAAAACGACAGGGTCTGTCCTCAAATCCATTAGGGTGAGAGAGTTCTAAGTTCTAAGAGCAGTATGATGTGAACACAAATAAGTATGACACATGGAAGGGTTGATGAGGACAAAGGAGAGTTCCCAAGTGCTCTAAGAAAATCAGGAGTGAGAGATTATTTTTAGCTAAAGGGAACTGAGAAGACTCCATGAAGAAGGTGGTACCTAAGCTAAGTTTTGAAGGAAGAAAAATATTTTAACAGAGAGAGATGTGGAATCTCTGCCAAAATGGAGGTCAATTAGGATAAGATGAGATCAGGTATCAGCTAGTATTCCAGCCCAGCTGCAACAAGAAGTAGTAGAAGAGGAGAAGAGAAATAAGACTGGAAAAATAAAATGAAGACATATTGTGGCTGGCTTTAAATGCCACACATAGGAGTTTGTATTTTTCTCCTACTAGTAGCAGAGAACTATAGAAGGTTCTTGGGCAATAGGCTGCAATGGTCAGATCTATACATGTAGATGGGGCCCAGATGAGCACCTAATCAAGTCAGGCATGAATTCTGATCATATATATTTTATACAAGTACAAGAGCATTTTTCTGTATGGATTTCAACTAAAGGCAAAAATGTGGCACATATTTATTTGGACATATTTATATGAGTATCTACATCCTACATATGTGCATGTATGCATGCATATGCGTATATGCACACATATACAATTCATTCACAATCCATATCTGTACACATATTTACACATTGTGCAAATGAGTATATATACACATGTACATATACACACATACGGATATATACATATTACAAACTTGTATGCCATGCCTATATGGAGCATTGCTTATAAGACCTTCTGGGAATCTCAATAAGGCTTCTCATAAAGCATCTGAATACAACATGCAGACAACTGCATATGTACTTATATGTGCATGTAAGTATATATGCTAGTAAACATTTAACAAGCAGAGAAAAGTATGTGTGTCACATACATACACATATATACATAAATTCACAACCCAGTCTGCACATGTACACATATGCCCAGATGTACATTTACGTACTTGCATGTATATACTTTTGTCTGCTTAATGTTTACTGGCACATATACATTTATATGTACATATATAAACATATGCATATGCCTGCCAATTGCATTCTGATGCTTTATGAGAAGCCTCATTGAGATTCCGGCAAGATCATACAAGCAATGTTCCACATAGGCATATACGTTTATCCATGGGAATCCTTTGCCAAGAATGACACAGGCCTAATAAATGCACCTTAAGCAGGATTTTAGAAAACCAGGAATGAGTGGAATTGGTTGCTATGGGAATGTACCTTTCATGTATTTCAGAAGTAAAGTAAACCAAATGTGTAGACTGCTTCCTTTCCAAGACAAAGGGAACACAGCGTTTTTCCCTGAAGTACAGAATTCAGAGGTAAGAGGAGACTAACAGATCATTCTCCACTAACCATGGCAAAGGTTAAGTACAGTGCCTGCTCACTTTTGTCCACTGTAACCAATACAGTACACAAGAAACAGCCCTGTAAATAATTCAGAAAGGGAATGGCCCATTTATGGATCCAAAATTGACTGTAAATCACTGGGAGATTTTGTCCCAAGGTGAGTAAGCTAGAATAGAAATTCACAAAGAGGTGGACCTACAAAAATGATCCCCAAAGGAGTAGTCTCTTGACTGTGTTCTCTTACAAGGAGGGTTGAGGAAGAGGGAGGGTATACTTTGACACCAAAAGAGCTTCCAAATCAACAACCATTTATGTACAAGGGTGAACCCCTTGAGGACAGGGATCACTCCTCAGCTCATTTTTGTAATTTCAGTTGCTACCACTGTGCCTTGCACACAACAAGCCTCAATCAAAGTTTACTGAAAGGTGGAAGATACTATTAAAAGAAGGCAGAAATAAGGGCTCATGGTCAGAAAGGTTAGTGTCCATTTGAGTGCAAGCATCACCTGGCAGCAGGCAAATGTCCTGTGATTCTCTTTCCCTCCAGAATCACTCTTAACTTTTATTACTTTTGCCTTCAGCTCAGGCTTAATTCATATAAAATGATAAACTTGTAATGCCTAGAGTTTAACTGCAATTTTCAAACAATTCAAAGCGTGAGGAGGTGGGGAACGAGGAGGAGAAAGTTAACATTGAAGTCAGAAAAAAGTTCTCAGCTATGTACAGAGACACTGGCCAATACAAGCCATGGATCCTCCAAGTACTAAGTTACGTTAGAACTTTTAACTCCTTCTGATATGCACACACATGTTATAGATGTTATAGACACTATACATAAATAATACATACATACAATACACATATATACATCTGTCTATCTATCCATCTATCACTTAGAAAGTTTACCAAGCATTTTTCTCACAAGAAGCTGTGCATTTGTTATTTTCCTCATTTTACCGATGAGAAAACTGAAGCTCAGAAAGATTAAGTGACAATCACAGTTACAAGTTAGTTTTTGTTGGAGCCCAGAGATGCCAAGCTTTGGCACTAGAAATGGCCACTAGTTTCAGATATGATGGCCCTGAAGTCATCAGATGTGTCCAAAATCAACAAAATCACAAAGATAGACCTACAAGCATTCAAAACATAATTTGGACTACTTGATGCTTCTATTACTTCCCTTCTGATCAATTTCTTAAAGCTTTGATAGTGGGACGAGTAAATCCAGATGAAATTTCTCAATCATTCTATTTGGATTAAATTACAAATTTCTTTTCTCTTTTGTGTTTCAGCTATGAAAGCCCTCAGCATGTTTTATCACCAATAATTAACTATCCAATTTATTTACACAGCCTGAGGAATCAGAAAGATACCCTTTTCATCCATTTAATAACTCTTTTCAATTCTACCTCCACATCTTTCCCACCATCCCCTTCTCGCCATGCACATGGTTACACTATTTGTGGCCCTCCAGCCTTAACTCTTGCAATAGCTTCCTAATTGGTGTCCCTGTCTCAAGCATCTCACCCTTCCAATCCATCCTCTACAGATGTGCCAAACATATATTCCTAAAGCAAAGTCTGGCTATGTCACTCTCTTGCTTTAAAAAACTCCCTACTACCACTAGGATCATAGCTTGGCATTTAAAGTCCTCCTAAAGTGGCCTCAAGCTATCTTTGCAAGTTTATTCCACATTATTCCCTTCGCTTATCCTTCAGCTCAGCCACAATGACTGTTTGACTCTTTCTATTCCTATCTCCATTCTCTGCACTGGCTTTCCTCCAAGTCCCCCTCTCCATACCTGGAATGCTCTCCCTCCTCACTGAGATTCCTATTAGAATCCCCAGCTTCCTTCAAAGCTCAAACTCAACTTTGGACATGAGGTCTTCTGGTATACATGTTACTTCCCTCAATAGAAAACAAGCTCCTTGGACTGTTTTTTTATCCCCAGGGCTTAGAATGGTGCCTGGAACATAGTAGGTGCTTAATAAATGCTTACTAATTGAGTCATGATGTAACTACCCCCCATAAAGCAGATGTAGCCAGGTGCAGCTGGCAGAAGGAAGGTACCAGCTGACCAGAGGAAAGCAGGGATGGGTCCTTACTCGTTTTATCGATCAGGCTCTGAGCTTGCTCTTCCATCCATTTTTGATAGTAATCTTTCACATTCTCTTTGTGTTTCCTACCGCTGCAGTGTGTCTTTCGTACAGATGGCTGCAAAATAAAAGAGTTGCCAGGTTGAAATTTGCCACACCCAGATTTTAAGAAAAGCAAAACCAAAAATCATATAAAGTCCGACCATTACAAGACACCTATGCTGGGAGCACCTCTCCAAGGGATCGCTTACATAGCTCATGTAAATTTGGCACAGCGGCCCACCGCCAAAACCTTCTGTGCCCAACATATTCTCTAAGGGACCAAGTCTGTTATCTTAAATATCTGTCAGAAATCCCAATGCATCAATTATACAGGTCACACAGCCTATCAGAATGCACTGCACCAAATATTCCCACGGTCCTTTTGCATCTATGGAAGCAAAGTCAAACTAAATACTACAAGCACTGCTCCCCAATTTGCCTTCCTAGTTCCCACAGCGCTAGCACAACAGACAACAGATAAAGCTGTAACAGAATCTCAAAATACAAAAATGGCCCTGTCTTTTCAGTAATGCTAAGCCATTAAAACCACTGTTCACATAAATACAACAGTTATGCTAGATGCCACAAGGTAATAGAAAAGATTACCCTAAGTAAGAAAAGCAAGCCTATGGAAATGTCCCCAAAGTCAGAAGATAAAAATGTTACAGTTCTGAACTGCTTTAAGGTACTCTAAGCTCACCTGAGGGAGCTGCTCCTCCAATCACCTTAGTAATTGTTCACTATCCCAAATGGATCATTTAAAAATAACAAAATTACAAAAGTCTCCAACCCTTTTCTGGAGAGCTACTTTTTCTTTCCCTGAAAGCTTGGGATCACTGGAAGGTGAGTAGATATATATAACAATAAAGGCCTGATAGGAGAAAATGTAAACTCTATTGCGTTCTCCTACCCTCTGGGAATATAGATTATGAAAGCATGCAAGAAAGAGTATTGTCAGCTGCAGCCTGAAGACCTACCAGATACGGTATAAGATCTATTGGCAGATCTTGTCTTCTCAGTGGGGATCCCTATACAACGATATTCTAAGAATATTTACAACTAGAGTCTCTCCAGGAGCAACCACTGCACAGTATTTCACAATGCCATCAGTAATGAAATATAACATAATACACTTGACCAGAAGCATTTCCAAAACTACAGGATTAGAATACAGCAAGTGAAGAATAATAATACAGAAATGGTTGGGTGTGTTCTGGTGTCTTACTGAAAAAGGTGTTCACTTTACATCACATCTCAGCTGGGAGGAAGGCAGAAGACAAAGATTTCTATGATTCCATTAGAGAGTTTTATAATATACAAACTAGGGCCCCTGGCTTTATTATTTCCAAAACAGATAACTTTCAAGGCAACTGCTAAGGCTCTAAGTTTGTAGAATCAAACAAAAACATGATTGACAGTTTAAAGCAACTGCCATACCATTCACAAAACCACTTCTTAGTTTCTCCCAATTTTTTCCTTGTCACAAAAATCACACTTGCTAGATCCAACTTTTGGTCTCACACAAGAAAATTCCGCCTATTGAAAGGCTATAGACAGACTACTTTAGCTACACAAACAGTGAGTAGATAATGGGAAATAAAATCACTCAAGGAAAATCCAGAATGGCTTTCTCCAAATCAACAATCAGAGTTTACATCTATGTAACACTTTACAGTTTACAAAGCACTTTCCTCACAACAACTCTCTGAGGTAGGTAGTGCAAGTGAATTTAATGGATGAGGACTCTGAGGCCCCAAAGGGGAAAATGCCTTGTCCACAGCTTCACAGCTACTAACTGGCATGAACCAGGACTTAGGAATCTAGGCCTCCTATCTCCCAAGTTCAGTGCAACTTCTTGAGCAATGCTGTAACTCAAAGGCCAGAATAGTGCAGGGACACTAAGTATACAACATGGTGGGGAGGACAGCACACTTTGTGCAGAAAGAATTTACTTTGCATCATCCCATGGTGTACAAACTACAGCACACGAGCAACACTACTTACAGAGTCATGGGTGAGGTACGTATCGCAGTAGTCACAGTAAAATCTGTGGGGGAGAAGGAGAGAGATGGCCACCACCATGTTAACAATAATAAGTTGCTTTAACTCAGCTAAAGGGGTCAGAGCTGGTACAATCACCTGAACGGTAACGCCAGGCAGCTCAGCAATTCAGACTGAAAGCAAAACCTTTGAAACAAACTTGTTTTCTTTTTCCTTTTTCTAGTTCAATTCAAAAAAAAACACTGATTAAGCACCTCCTATACAAAGATGAAACAACAAGACGGTCCCTGCCTATGAGAGTTTATAGTATAGTGGGGGGAGAGGGAGCCCTGTGGAGATGTAATGTTCACTAATAAAGAGTACACAAGGTAGATTGTGATGGGGACAAAGGAGAGATCTAGACAAAGAATCCCAGAAAAAAATTGTAGGGGACAAGCACACTTCCAGCTGAGGGAGATCATGGCAGACGTGGCATTTGACCTGAGCCCTGGAGAAGGAATTTAATTCCCTACCTGAGAAGTAGCACTCTTCTTCTTGCCTGCTGTGAAGTAAAGGGGAAGAGGAAAAAGGACAAGGAGGAGGGGGATGAGGAGAAGAGGAAGGGAGAAGGATGTAGAAGATGAAGAGGGAAAAGGAAGGAAGGAAGGAAAGAAGGAAAGAGAAGGAGGGAAGGAGGAAGAGGCAGGAAGGAAAGGAAACCTTATTTCCTTTTTTGACAAGGTTATTAAACTGACAGATCAGGAAATATTGCAGATAAGCTTGATAAAACATTTGACAAAACCTCTTGTAGTGTTCTTGTGGAAAGTTGGAGATGTGGGTTAGACCAGTGTGCTCCAAAGTGGGAGTTATGGCTTGACCATCAAGGAGAATGTGATCAACTAGAGGGTGGGAAAAGAAGTTGGATCCTACCCTCCCAGCTATAACCAACACAGGCATTTGTCCAACACAGCCACACGTGTCACCTGTAGCAATCCAATACTTCCCTCAGTCCCCCGACTTCCACAGCTGTGCAAGCTCCCAACCTTCCCCATTTCAAGTTCAGCATCAGCTCTTCAGGGAAGTTATAACCTAACTGAAACCTGGGCACCCACAACCGCAGCTGCAGTTGGGGAAGTCCCATCTCTCCCAACACAAATCCACTACCACCTCCACCTCCCCCATATACTTGGAAAATAATTTTACTGATAGGGGTGCACAATCAAAAACTTTGGAGACCATTTGGCTACACAATAGTACAATAGATTCAGAATAATTTAATGGCTATATCCAAAGAACAGTCATTAATGAATGGTTCAATATCAACCTGGAAAGAGGTTTTATTTATTCATAAATTCAACAAACATTTATTAAGTGCCTAATATATGCAAGGTTCTGGGACACAAAGACATAAACAACATAGCCCTTGCCCTTGAGGAGCTTACAGTCTATTGGGGGAAAATAACAGATATATAAAAAATTAAGTACAAAACATATACAAAGTAATTTCCTAGGAAAGTACTAGCAACGGGAAGCATTGGGACAGTCTTCTTGTAGAAGGTGGCATTTGAGCTGAGTTTTGAATCAAAGGAGGGATTCTGAGAGGCAGAGGAGAGGGAGGGGGGCAGTGCTTTCCAGGCATGGGTAACAGTCTGTTTAAAGGCACAGATGTAAGAAAGGGAATGCCATGAACACGAAACAGCAAGCATGCAAGTTTGCCTTGATGTAGGGTGTATAGAAGAATAATGAATAATGTGCAATAAAGCTGGAAAAATGGACAGAAGCCAAACAGAAGAGTCTTTATTTTGTCTTAGAATCAAGTGCACTTAACCTTTTCTGTGTCTTGGATGTCCCTGGCAGTCTGGTGAAACATATGGACCCATTCTCAGAAAGATGTCTACTGCCTAAATTCACAATCAAAGGTAATACTAAATTTCAGTTAGAGGTTAATGAAAATAAAGGTGTAATTTTTTTCCAGTCCAAGTGCATAGACCCCCTGAAATCTAGCCACACTAATTTGGGTCCAAGGACCTTAGGTTAAGAACCCCTGTCTTAGAAGCAAGAAATAATCACTGGAGCTCTTTGAACAAGGAGTAACAACATATTTAGATCTGTCTGTACTTTGCAAACATCAATTTAGCAGTCATATAGAGGATGGATTGAAGAGGAAAGAGACTAGAGGATGGGAGATCAATTAGAAGTACCAGTCTAGATGACATGATATGATCTGAAAGAGGATAATGGCTTTCTAAGTAGAGAAAAGGGGACTGATACATGATATACTGTAGAGACAGAATAAACAATATTTAGCAACTGATTGGACATGACAGGTAAATGGCATGGAACAGATAAGGATGGTACCAGGGTTGCAAATCTGGTTAATATGAAGAATGATGATAGCCTAAGTAGAAAGGAGAAATGTGGGATCTGGGGGAGGGGAAAAAACATTACTCCCTTTTTGGACATGTTGAGTTTGAAAAACTTGTAAGATATCCAGTTAGAGAGGTCAGATAGGCAGTATGTAGTATGGGGACTGGGGTTCAGAAAAGACTGGGGCTGGATATATAAGATTTCACAATCATCTGTATAGAGGTAGTTTAACCCATGACAGCTAAAAGACCACAAAAGAATAATGTAGAAGGAAAAGAAACCAAGATAGAGCCCTCATATACACCTATACATAGCGGGTAGGATGAGGATGATGGTTTGTCAAAGGAGATTAAGAAGGAGTAGTCAAAAAGGATTAAAAACCAGGAGAGAGCAGTGCTATAAAAACCAACAATGCCAAAGGTTAATAGATAAGGGCCAACAAAAGGCCATTGGACATAGAAATTAATAGGTCATTGGTAACCTTGGGAAGAGGAATTTTCACTGGTGTTGAAAAGTGAATACAAGATGAGAAAGTAGAAGCAATGAATGTAAGGCAATTTTTTTTCTAGGAGTTTGGCTGTGAAAAACAAAAGATGTATACAGCTATAATTTGAGGGAATGTTAGAACTCAGTGAAGTTTTTAAGGATAGGGGAATATCTGACCATCTTTGAAGGCAGCAGGAAGGGAGTCAGTGGATAAAGTGAGAAATTACAGAGAGAGGAGGCAGAATGATTAAAGTGGAAACTTCTGAAGGAGAGGTAAGGGTTTGAACAAGAAATGCAGGGATTAGTATATTCAAGGAAGACTTCCTCCAATACTGGAGCAAGGAACAAGGGAGTGAGAGATGATGTTTAAGTGATTTGAAGTATAGAGTTGGGAAGAGGGAGCTATCAATGGTTGGCCTCAATTTTTTTACTTAAGTATTTGATGAAGTCCTCTGCTGAAAGAAGGGAGGGATGTTGTAGATGGCTTAAAGGAAGAAGAGAAAATTTGGAATAGAAGCCAAAGGGAAGCAGGAAAGAAAGTTAAACAAGGAAAAGTAAAAGGACTAGCACAGAGTTTGAGGGCTCAGTTGAGACTATATATTTGTAACAGACCCAGTCAGAACAGCCATGTAATTTCCTCTGTTGAAGTTCAGGACCTCATACAAAGAAGCAAAGACGATGGATGGTGGAGTAACCCAGAGTTGGCATTTGAAAAAGGATGAGCAGAAAAAAGATAAGGGCAGAATATAGTCTAAAGTTGAATTGGTTAACTTAAAGTTAAGATTTTGAAGGAAGCAAAGATTGATGGTGTAGGAATGCAGAGAGGGATGGAGTGAGAGGTGGTTGCAGGGAAAACAAAGATTTAGGAGGAAGCAGAAGGAGAGATGGAATGAGGTTACGGTCAGATGAATAACAGCATTAGGCACAGTTGGCAGGCGAACACTTTGATGATGAAATCAATAACTTTCCCCATGTACTTCATTCAGATCATGCAAACTGAAGTCTCCAGGGGGTATGCCAGTATCCTTGGTCCTGTGCTGCTTAATACTTTTATCAATGACTTGGACAAAAGTATAAATGGAATGCTTGCAAATTTTGCAGTTGATACAAAGGGAGGAGGGATAGCTTAAAGCATGGGATGACTGAATTATAGTCCAAAAATATTTTTGTCTAGAAGGTGAAGCCAAATCAAACAAGATTAAATTTAATAGTGAAAAATGTGGTCTTACATTCCCTACTCACCTCTGCCTCTTAGAATCCCAATATTCCTTCAAACCTAATTCACTTTGTTCCTAGTGCCTTCCCCCCAAAAAACACCTTCTATCTACTTTGTATATACCCATATATATACATATGTCTGCTCAATAGAATGCAAACTCCTTGAAGTTAGGGGACAGCTTCGCTTTTGTCTTTAGCTCCCCAAATGCCTAGCACAGTACCTGGCATGTAGCAGGCACTTAAAATGTTCATTGATGGATTGAAAAATTCAACTTCACAAATACAAGATGGAGAGGCATAATTAGACGAGGAGTTCCTCTGGAAAAAAACTGGTTTGGGGGAGTCTTAGTAGACAGCCAATAAATGAAATCTGTGCCCACATTAAGAGGTAAAGCATCCAGGTCTAGAGTGGTGATCTTTTTTATCCCACTTGTTTAAAACACACATGTATTCGGTCTCTAGCACCACATTTTGGGAAGGCTAAGTTCTTCGGGGTAAAAAAAAGGCAACAAGGATGGTGATAGGTTGAGACCTAAGAGGTTCAGTTCAAGAAACTGGGGAATGACTTAACAAGGGTCGTGACGGCCATCTTCAAGTCCATGAAGGACTGTCAAGAGATAGATTTGTTGTTCTTGGCTCCAGGGGCCAGAAATAGGATGGTGGGGTAGAAGTTTCAAAGAAACGAATTTATCCTCGACTGGGAATAAAATAAAATCAAATCTTCCTAACAATTACAGAGCCGGCCAGAGAAACTGAATGGACCGCCTCTGGAGGTAGTGAGTTCTTTCGCATTTGGTCTTCAAAGCAAGAACGTCCGCAGGTTGTGAGTCCGATGTAATGGGGATTTCTGGTCACGTTTGGGCCGGAGGTTCCCTGCCAATTCTCAAACTGGTCGGAGATAAGCTGGGGGAGGGGGGGCGAGTCCGGTGACAAGGAGGGGGAGGGGAAGAGAGGAATGCGGGAAGATGGAAGGAAGAGGAAAAGAAGGAGAGGGGAGAGGGAATGAAGGAGGGTGGAGGGCCTTTCTCTGGAGCAAGCCCTACCTCTCCCTTTCCCCCACCGTCTCCCGGGCAGTCTCGGGAGCCCCACCCCTGTGCGAGCCGCCCCCCCCCTCCCCAGCCCCCCCGCACGGAGCCCCGGCGCGCCCTCCTCTCAGCCTCCCCCTCACTTGGGCATGGTGCTCCGCGGTCCGTTGGTCGTACCGATCCGCGCTTAGCCACCGGAAGTGACGTCTGGGCTAGCGCCGAAAGTGATGCTCTAAGGCTGCGTCTTCTCCCCACGTCTCCAGCTGCCTCCGCGCCGCCGCCCAATCGCTGGCCGACGCGGCTGGAGCTGCCTTCCCATTGGTTGTTGTCCTTTCGGTCCCTAGATGAGGGAGAGAGAGAATGAGGATGAAAGAGGGAGACTCCGATGACCCCTCTCCATCCAGTCTTGGGCTACGGGTACGTGCAGAGTCCAAAATGGCTTCATTCTAGATCTTCGACCGCCCCTCTTGAAAAAATTTTCATTATTTCATTATTTTTATTTATTTAAATTTATTATTTATTTTATTTAATGTTTAGGCACATTTCTTAGTAAGACATCATAGACTCACTACTGGGACTTGGAGCCTTTCTTTGCACGGGCTGGCCCAGGTGCCTGGAATGCTCTTCCTCCTGTGGTTCTAAGTTCCCTTTCAAGCTCAGCTCAAGTTTCATCTCCTATGAAAAACCTTCCTTGATTTCCCCTAGTGTAAAAAGATTGCTTTTTGTTTCTTTTGTTTCTATTTTGTTTATCCTGTATATGTGCGTGTTGTCTCTTCGGATAGAATGTAAATTCCTAAAAGGCAAAGAATTTAATCTTTATCTCTATCCCTGACACTTAACAGGGCTTGTCACACAGGAGGCCGGCCACTCGAGAAATGCTTGTTTATTGATTCATTGACAGAGGAAATTGGAGGGAATGGGAACCCAACAAAGTTGCAAATAGGGTGGGCGTTGGGAAGAATTTCCCATTTTTTAAGGACTGGAGTAAAGAAGGAGAATTTTGAATGGGCAGTGGTGTCGTGGCTTTGAGACGTTGGGTAGGAAAAAAGATGGAGCTCCCAGGGAATGACTTCTATCTTCTAGTCAAGTATAATGATAAAAGGAGGAAAGAGGGAATTAATGAGGGAATGAGTGAGTTAATGAAGGGATGAATGTCTGAAGGAATGAATGGATGGAAAAAAAGACATTTAAGCGTTTACTAAGTACAAAGCACAGTGCTAAACCTAGGCTGAACATAGAAAAGCAAGAGAATCCTTGCTCTCAAGGAGCTTGTATTCTTTTGGGAGAGACAACATGTACATAGAGAGTAAATATATATAAAATATGGATGGAATGGAACCTGTTTTTCATTGGTGTAGGGAAATGCTGGTGAGGAATTTCCTAAACCTAAATAACACTGTCTCCTCAACTTAGAGGCGCCCCCACAGGTTTTTCTTTTGGTGGGGGGATGTGATTGATGATGAATCCCAGAAGAAACTGAGAAGCAGAAGTCAGAAAGGTAAGAGGAGAACAGAGAGAGAGAGAGAGAGAGAGAGAGAGAGAGAGAGAGCAGTATCATGAAAACAAAGAAAGGAGAGAGTATTGAGCAAGTCAACAGTGTCAAATGCTGCAGAGAGATTAAGAATGAAGATTAAAACAAGGCTATCAGATTTGGCAATTAAGGGATCGTTGGTAATTATGGAGAGAGTAATTTCAGTTGAGTGATGAGATCAGAAGCCAAGTTGCAAAAAGTTGAAAAATGAATTAGAGGAGAGGAAGTGGAAGCAAGGAATGTAGCCAGCTTTTTCTGGGAATTTTCAGGAAAAAAGGAGGAGAAATACAGGATGAAAGTTCAAAGCGGTGAGAACTTCAAAAAATATTTTTCTAGAGTGGTGGATACATAGGCTTTTATAAGCAACACTGAAAGAACCAATAGATTGGGAGAGATTGAAGATTGGAGAGGAGGAGATGATTGTTGGGGCAGTGTGGTAGGAAAGATGAGAATGGATGGGATGATAGGTACATGTAGAGGGGTTGGCTTTGGTGATGAGAAGGATCACCTCTTCATCAGAAAATGGAGTAAAGAAGGAAAGAATAGGGAGTAGTATTAAAGAGTTTTGAGAATTAGAGAAAGGTAAAAGAGGGAGTTTGTGGCAAATAGCCTCTATTTTCTCAATAAATTGACTAAGAGAGTAGAGGGAGGGAGTTTTGTAGAAGGCTTGTGGAGAAAAGAAAAGGATTGTAATAGCCTTTGTGGGGAGTGTGATGGCATCTGTTAGATAAAAGTAAAAGGATTGCCTTGGGCCTTTGAGAGCCCAATTGAAATTAGATAATATAAATAAGGCCAGGACCCAATTGAATTGTTTCTTCCAACTCCATTCAGTAGATTATTCCTAGTGATAACCTCTTCCATCTCCAATTCATCCTCCACACCACTGCCAGAGTGGTTTTTCTAAAGCCTAGATCTGGCTATGCATTCCACTCCATCCCCACTCAATTAACTACAGTGGCTCCCTGGATCAAATACGAAATCCTTTGTTTCACATTCAAAATTCTTTACAACCCATTCCCAACCTACCTTTTCAACCTTATTTTACATTACTCCCCTTTTTACATTCTTTAGGCTGGGAAAACTGGCTTTCTTGTGTTTTGGGGTTTTTTTGGGGGGGCTAGGCAATGAGGTTAAGTGACTTGCCCAGGGTCACACAGCTAGTAAGTGTCAACTGTTTGGTCTGAGGTTGGACTTGAACTTAGGTCCTCCTGACTCCAGGGGCGGTGCTCTATCCACTGTGCCACCTAGCTGCCCCTGAAAACTGGCTTTCTTGCTACTCCTAACACAGTAGCATTCCATCTTCCATCTCTGTGCTTTTGAATCGTCCCCCATTCATGGCATACACTCCCTCCTCATTTTTACCTCTTAGAATCTCTAATTTCTTTCGAATCTCAACTTGAGGTCCATCTTCTATATGATTCCCTATAGCTAGTAGCACCTCTTCTCCTTGATTGCCTGTCAGTAACCCTCCTCCCCATCCCTAGCCTCCACATATATACTTTAAGCATTTTTTTTTTTTGGTGAGACAATTGGGGTTAAGTGACTTGCCCAGAGTCACACAACTAGTGAGTGTTATGTGTCTGAGTCCAGATTTGAACTCAGGTTCTCCTGACTCCAGGGCCGGTGCTCTATCCACTGTGCCGCCTCGCTGCCCCCACATATATATACTTTAAATAACATTGTGTATGTACTTCATTGCTGTTCTTATCCTGTTGAAATGTGTATTAGTGTTTATCCCTCTTTGCTAAAGTAAAATCCATGAGGGCAGGAATGTCTAGCTCATGTTATGCATACTGTAACAATGATGATTAATACTTATAAAGCTATATTAAATATTATAAAGTCATGTTAAGTATTAAGCTTGAGCACATTTAGCTAGTGCTAAATCAGTCTGGTGAGGGAACTCAGATCCATGTCATACATGGATTTGGAAAAGACAGGGGTTTCCTGACAACACTTCAACTATTGGAAAGGCTATCATGGGGAAGGGGGATTATCTGTGTTCTGTGTGGCCCCAGGAGAGAACTAAAAACCAAAAGATGGAAGTTTGGGTACACATTTTTCTTTTTCTTTTTCTTTTATAGCACTTCATGGTTTTAAACAAGGACTTTTTTTTTTTACAGATATGTAAACTAGGAAGTTTGGGCTATTATCACCATTTTACAGTTGAGGAAACTGAGGCATAGGGCAGTTAAGTGACCTGTCCAGAATCACACATCGAGCAAATGAAAGAGCTAGTATTCAAACATAGCCTTGTGACTCTAAAGTCATTGCTTTTTCCACTAGGTCATGTCAAGGGATGGAAACAACCAGAGCCTCCAATGGGTGCTAATCATACATGACTCACTAGAGGTAGCATTTTTGTTTTGTTTTGTATTTTGTATTAGATATCAGCATCTGGCTGGAACACAAAGACAACAGTCAAAATTTGGGAGATTTTATTTTATTTTATTTTTTGAGATTTTATTTAAAAGATCACTTGCAGGTACATACAAAGGTTTCAAATTTAAGAGGTTAAAGAAAGAATGCTACATGCTTCATATGCTATAGAAGTTGCCATGCATTTAATATAAAACAGTGGAAAACTCTCTATGAATATGGCAGTAAAAACCACCAAAGGCAAAAGGTGACACTAAAGCAGAAAGAAATACTCAGCACCCATTCAGACTAATGGCCTTCCATTCAGAGCATTGTCCTAGCAACAGAACTCATTGATTCAAAGAGCTAAACAAAGATGCTCACTGTTACTCAGAAAGCAGGTTACTGCTACTATTGCAACAGCCCCTTTGGAAGTATGAGCAGGTGATAGGATATTATAGATATCATAAAGGAAAGTTGGCCTCACATTGAGGCATTAAAGGATGAATAGTGTAGAGGTTTATTCTCCCACCTGCATCATTTACACCTTATAGCCCTATGCCAAATTCCTAAAGATATCATTCACAGATATCAAAGCAACTTCACATCTCCACTTGCTTGGTCCTCTCCATTCCAACTGCAAATGATGCTGAAGATAGTTCCAGAGTCTCAGGTGATTCAATTTCCATTCGTCTGTATATTGTAAAGCTACCCAACTCTTTATTTGAAAGCAAACTTAGATGCTAAGATGCAGGAAAGTAGTAGGTAGAAAATGCTTCTCTTCTTATGATCTTGAGCTTATTTCAGATTTCACCTTCCACCAACAAAGTATCCCCCATTTCTTCTCATCCAGAGCAGGCATATTGGCATGGTGTAGTCCTTTAGACTCTGAACGCCCCGGGACACTCTAGCAGAAGAAATTTAGAGATGTTGTTCAGTCATGTCCAACTCATGTGACCATACCATTCATGGGGTCTTCTTGGTGAAGATACTGGAGTGCTTTGCCATTTCCTTCTCCAGTGGATTAAGGCAAACAGGTTAAGTGACTTACCCAGAGTCACATAGCTAATAAGTAGCTAAGGCTGGATTTGAACTCAGGTCTTCCTGACTCTAGGCCCAGTGCTCTATACCACCAAGCTGCCTCTTTAGAGCTCTTAGGTCCTTCGATTCTTAGAGACTTAGAGGCTTTCTAGAGACTGCCAATCCAACAAAAATTCTATTCTGGAGAAAAAGAAAATGGATAGAGAGAACTGACAATGGGATTGGCACATAATCCCTCTAGAAATGAAGGCATTTCATTCAAGAGGCCCTTTCATTCTTCAAATGTAACACTATTTCTATATAATAGGGTCAT